AATTAATTGCTCCTGCCTTCATTCATCTGTTTAAGACGAGCCTCTGCAATCGACTATCTGCCTGTTAGAGCAAACGGAAGATAACTTTATGGCTTTTATTTATCTTTTTGGTATTTTATTTTACATTATTTACATGATTAGAACCCAATTATATCCTGGTGTGATTGATTATTTCAGTTAATTCCCAGCTTCCAATTTTATTATAAAGCAGACCTACGCCATGTTTTTATTGTGACTCAGAGTAGCTGCGTGATTCAAAGTTCAAGAAAACTCATTTGTCTTGTAGCTCCATTCATCTTCTGTGTATAAGCAGTAATAATATCAGCAATATAGTACTGTACAGAAGTCGTGATTCATCCCTCATGTCTTTATATTTCATAAAAGTGTAATTTTTCAAGGGAAATGTGAAATAAGTGCAACAGTTTATTGAAATACATTCAAACATGCTTGACGGTCAGTAATACTCGGAATGACCACCTTTATTCTTCGGCACAGCCTGAACTCTCTTATTCGGCTTTCTTGTCATTTCTTTAAGCCGTCTTTGGGAATAGTTCTCCAGGCTCAGTTGAAGGACAATCAAAGCTTATCTTTGGATGTTAGTTTCCTTTTGTTCTGTTCTCTGTCAAGATGATCCTACACTGCTTTTCCCCCTATCCTGACATGCTTTTAGTAGCAAAGTGCCTTAAGATACAATTTAAAACTGGTTCTTTGCCAAGCTGGGGTTTTTTTGTACACGCAACACTGGTTTTTCCTTTGATTTAGGCTCCTTTTTATGCTTAAATGATTCATTGGTCACTGTTAAGTGGCTTAACAGCATATAAAAACTGAAAATGATCAGATACAAATACTGGACTCAAAACAACTGAGAAAGCAGCCAATGTCTAAAGTAAAAATTTTAAAAGACCTTCAGAAAGCCCGGAGAACTATTGCTGAACGCCACTTCAGCAAAATATAAAGAAATGAGAATCGGCTAAAGACTTTTAGCCGATTCTCATTTAGAGGATTAGAGGATCCTCAGGGGGTCCTTTTGTCCCTCTGTGGGGGGTAACTCCCACTAGGTTTATATCTGGGACTCTCCACCATTTGACCTTAGAACTGAAGAAGCTTCTTGGATGAGAGGTGAAACGTCTTCAAGTAACTTAAAGAAGTCCAGACGCTTTTCTTTGCAAGCTCCTTTGACTACGATGACCTGGATGACTGAGAACCTTCACAGGCTAAAGACTTTTGCACACTACTGTATCTCTTTAAGGATCCCCTCTCTAAAAGCCCATTTCCTACTTATTGGCTTTTGCAAATAGAACCCTATACTTTTCAATCTCAGGCTCTTGCTGTGCTTGAGATGAGCATATAAAGACATATGTACAGAGTCGACATCAAGTCAACACAAGAATAGAAAAAAAAAACATTTGAAATTAAGCATTTAGAGCAGCCTGAAGCCTTAGCTTTAGGTTCATAGTGATTATGTGTACTTTATTTTTTGAAACTGTGAATAATCAAAGCATACATAAGGAAATGCATAACGGCTCAGCTTTACACACACTGACTGAACTCAGTTTAAAGTTGGAATGATTAATAAAGAGGGCATTAAAAAGATTCACAATAAAGTTTTAAAGTTGTTCTAAAGTAACCGGCAGAGTTATTTCAGGTGCCCCCAGTTCAAGAAAAGACATCCCATTCATTTTCCCTACAAATAATCTTTGGGGACTCAAAGCTGGCTCACCTCTACTGTAGTTAGAGTTGATTCACTGTCTCAAAAACTAACAACAGTGCAGAGACGTTTTAACTCCAACTGCAATGGCGAAAGAGAAAACGCTGCCTGTGATTTGCTTCTTCTTCTTCACAGCGGTAGCGGCTAAAGCTTTTATTGTAGTGTTTAAAGCCACTCGCCATGCCCAACAGAGCTTCAGATTTGAGTGCTAATTCTCTGCGCTTCACATCGCAGCGAGGCACAGGAAAACGCTGACACCGTATGCTCTTAAATCTCACTCACACTAACCTCTCTATTCACAGGCTTCTTTGGTAAACACAAAAATAAAAACACTCATTCGCCTCATTTTCACGAGCCTCGCTCTTTCCACGTCAGTGCTCCCTGGATGAAGGCTAGGTACTCACAGAACAGAGTAACCTCAGGGTTTAACACTTGGTTATGTGTGCTCGAGGAGGCTCTGGCCAAATACTTCCTTGCACCAGTGTCATTCCTCATTTGTTTCTATGCCGCTTGGGCAAAGTTTCCCCCTCTCAAAGGCGGGCCGAGTGCAGGCCGGCAGCGTGGGAAAAAAAGCATTTCCAGCCCCGGCTTTCAAGCTGAGATAACAGCGAACATCACAGCTCTCAATTACTCTCATCACATAATTCCTAACAGTCGTTTCTCAGAAATCTTTCGCGTTGGTTTGCGTGGCCGGGAGCTCTAATGGCCCCGCACCTTCCATTTATCGATGGCTAAAAATGAAAATGGCTTTCAAAAGCACAGCAGTGGCTTAATACTGCCCCCTTTTAACTTGATCCAACGACTCATTTAAGGAAGAAGCCCAGACCACACAGACTGAGCTCCCATCAGTAGTTTATTCCCTGTGGCTGCGCTTGAAATGTCAGGCTACAGCTGGAGGGTGCTGCACCACGCACAGTGCAGTGCATAAAACTGAAGGGGGGTAGAGGGGGGGTGGGTGGAGGCCCTGCAGGTAAACAGGATGAGAAAATGCATCCCTGTTTCTGCCTGAGGCAAACCAGGCCCTTCTGTTCCAACATTTAGCAGACAAGCGCTCCACTGATTCCCAATTAATATTTAATAACAGAAAAGACAAAGGGGTATTTCACCTGGGGAAATGAGGGATGAGTAGATGGAGCTTAAGAGGGAATGAATTTTTAGCATTTCAAATTTGAATATGGTTGGATACACACTGCTTGGCTACAAGTAAATAAGGAAGACATAATAATTAACTGCGCAGTCTGCGACACCACAGATTTCACTTATTTTGGCTGATTGGAGCTTGTATTGTAACTGTATACAATGCACTTAATTGACATGCCCCCCCCATGCTGTTAGTCTCGTTTCACTTTTTATGGTACTTTTAACTGCCTGGAGTTTGGTGACCTCATTAGACTCACAGCATGACTCTATAGAAGGTCAACCTGAGGAAATCTAATTATCAGAAATAAATGAGAACGAGACGCATGAGAATGCACAAGATCATGCAAACAAAGAAAACCCGGAACATAATCAGTCAGATAAGCTAAGAAACAACTGGGAAACACTCACTGGCCATTTAATTAGGTACAATTGCTAGTACTGTGTTTGACCCAGAAATGCCTTAACTCTTCAAGGGTTTAAGAAGGTGCTGGAAACATTCCCAGAGATTTTGGTCCATATTGACATGACGGCATCGCACAGTTTCTGCAGAAGTGTCTGGCTGCACGTCCATGGCGCAAATCTCCCATTCAGCCACATGCAAATGTGCTCTACTGGATTTGGATCTGGTGACTGCAGAGACCATTTGAGGACTGTCAGCTTAGTGTCAGTTCAAGAAACCAGTCTGAGATGATTTGATGGGTTATCCTGCCGGAAGCAACCATCAGAAAATGGGCAAACTGTGTTATAAAGGGTTTGACGGTCAGCAACGATATTCAGCTACGGTGTGATGCTTAAACAATGCTCAGTTGGTAATCAGAGTGAAGTCCCCCCCCCACCTTAAATCAAACAAAAGTGGTGTCAAACAGGGAGGGGGGGGCAACTTCACTCCAATCAGTGTGCCAAGAAATTACCGCCTACAACATTACAGCACCACCAGCAGCCCGAACCACTGATACAAGCCATCCATCCTTTCATGTTATTTACATTAGACTCTGACCTTACCATCTGAATGTCACAGCAAAATCAAGACTCATCAGACCAGTGCAGTTTCTGTGCAGAACCGTAGCCTCAATTTCCTGTTTTTAATCAACAGAAGTGCATGAAGTGGTGTTTAGCTGCTGTAGCCCATCTGCTTCAAACTTTCATGTGTTGTGCATTCAGAGATGCTCTTCTGTAAACCTTGGCTATTTTATTTATGGTTACCCTCCTGTCAGCTCGAAGCAGCCTGGCTGTTCTCTTCTGACCTCTAAGATCAAAAAAATATATTTTCACCCAGAAAACTGCAGCACACCATTTAATTTCCTCTTCTGGACCATCCTCTGTAAACCCCAGAGATGGCTGTGTGGGAAAATCCCAGCAGATCAGCAGTTTCTGAAATACATCAGACCAACAACTATATATTAAAAGTCACTTAAATCACCTTTCTACCTATTCTGATGCTCGGTTTGAACTTCAGCAGGTCATCTTGACCACGTTGCTGCGATGCGATTACCTGATTAGATATTTGCAGTTGAACAGGTGTATCTAAGAAAGTGGGCGGGTGATGAGACACAGACAACAGAGCAGAAGTAGGCTTTGCAGGTAGGATGAACCAGTGGAAGCGAGTTGGACAACTACACAAAGAGCATGAAAGCAGAGTAAACTACATAAAGAAAATAATAATCATCTCATTTAATCAGTTAATTGAAAGAAATCTAATCATAAATTCCACTCCCATAGATTCAACACTCAACCTTACAGCACATGCCGTGCAATCATTCAAAATGAAGGTCAAACAACACCCACACACGAAGCACCTTCTACACAGTGTGAGCATCATTAGTAACCCTGTATGGGCGATTTGAGTCACTCTGTAATTTCACTTTGTCCACTCTGACCTGCATGCATTTGCACTGCATGAGCACGCTGATTACAAGCTTTTACAATTAGCAGACATTATCATCAAGTAGCCCATTACTTTAATTCAAAATGCTCCACAGTACCTGGAATCTCAGCGAGCGCTGCTGAAAACAACCACGTGTGATCTTTACGAGCACTTTGAGCCAACAAGGTCAAGTAGAACGTGACTTTTTTTTTTTTTTTTACTCCCAGTGTGTCGTGAAAAACAGATACTTTATGACAAAATGTCTTAAATGTGTTCGATAGGACTCACCTTTGTGGGTGCATGACTGCAGCGGTGGTACCGGCAGCAGCAATGGCGGCGGCGGAACATCGAGGCTTTTGGGTGTGCAGGCCAAATGCTGCGACGAGAAGTTTTGCCGTCTCTGGATACAGGCCAGCATGATAGTTCACTAGGGCTGCGCACAGCCTGGGTAAACCTGCTAGAACAAGACAACAACAAAAAGAAATCACATGATTTTACACTTTGGTTAACACTTAACACCTGATAGACAAAACCACACAGACATATCAGTAAGTTTTAGAGACTGTACAGTTAACTAAACGCTAACTCGCCTCTATCCACAATGAAAATGTTAATGTGGGGATGTTTAGCAGGTATACTAACATCTGCTAATTAAGGCATCAAAGTACAGTCAAGATCAGAAGGAATGTCATTAAAATAACCATCTACCATCAATATTTCTTTGAATAACCACTGTTAACTTCACAGTCCCTTTAGACTTTACAGGAGACTGGATCAGCCAATTGGATGACTCTGGAAAATGTGAAGGGTGGCATCAATTTTTAACTTTTAACGATATTTTCACAAGTTTTACAGCTTTTCCTACTAATACAAACCTTCCCAATGGTCATTCATAAGTATTAGATTTCTGTAATTTTACACATTTATTACATACAATTTAAGACTAAAGAGTTGTGCTGACAGATATCTTTCATTTACTCCACCAGCATGCAGAAGAACTGACACGCGCTGTTGAAATTGCACTAATTTTTCTTATATTAAAATATCTCAGGGATTAAATGTCTAGTTACATTTCTGTACACCGACAGATGAGGGAGTTTCAGAAGATCAAAGTAGCTCTATGTGGCCCGCGATGTAAAATAAGTTTGACGTCCCTGCTTTAGAGCACTGGTTCTCAAACTGTGGAGAACAGAGCCACTGCTGCCAGAGCCTTGAAGTCCAGGGGTAAATTGTAAAGACAACAAACAAAACATCTTTATTTAACTAAAATTCTACTTGGATTCTTTGCTGATTGATAAAAAGTGTGGCATGTGACCCTTTTTTTCAACATCTGAAGCAAGGCATACCAGAAAAAGTTTGAGAACCACTGCTCTAGAGGGTTAAAGTCACATTCACCCAGAAGATGTTGAGAAATATCCGTAGTTACTGAAAAATCAGGCCTGCTCAACATAAAGATTCGGCCTCTGACCACCAACAGCTATCTGTTCCAAAATTCAAGCTAATCTTCAAAATAGATATATGTATTTTTTAAAGCAGGTGGCTGCCTTATTTGTGCCTGCGGAGCTAAATGTAATCACTGGGTTTCCTTCTCTAGGGAAGATGAACAGTTGTGTGTAGTTTTGTGGCATCCCATCTATCAAATAGATGGGCTAATTATTCCTTCGATTATCCACAGTGATTTTTTTAACTTCAAATTAAAAGCATCAGGCACTGCTGATGGAAGCAAACTGCAAAGCTTCCTCGTGGACATTAAAATCCAATAGGCGTGTTCTTTGTAAAGCGCAGATCTAAATTTCTGCAACCACTCAGATCCTTTTACCATATTAAAATTCAGCTGCCCCTCGATGAAATGCAGAGACTGTAAATTTAAGAAAGTAATATAATTTAATGATGACTCCATCTCCTTCCTCTGCTTAGTTGTTATGATGGCTCCTTCCCGTTATCAACCTTGCTTTCTGCCTGTTGTGATCACAGATCATTTACAACCCCTCCTGTAGCCTCGGGCCGCGTGTTTCAATTTCTAACCGGCTCTGAGACCTTGGTTTCTTGTTCTATAAATTTATGACCGTATTGATCAGCAGAGAAAGCCAAAAGCAGCTCGCTCCCTAAAATAGGCTGCGCTGTTTGCAGTGTTAAGTACTGTCAGAGGAAATGAGAGCCTGTGTCTGAACAAGACTCGCCAAAGCCACAGCCACAGCTGTGCTGATTGAAGCAATCACTCTAAAAAGAGCGAGCTGCGCTTTGAGGAAATATTTCAGCGATAATCGCATTTGACATTCTGTTTGATTATCTGAAAGAGTCAGCAACTCTGAATGCCAGCATTGCAAAACTAAGAAAAAAGAAACCTCAGGCTATCGTGCTGTATTTGTATCAGGTAGCCCATCTCGAAGACAGACAACTGCTGCCAGTTCAAAATGCCGCAGAACTATTGGTATACTAGTTAATCAATCTGGTGATTACAAATTGAAACACTGTATTTTTCTTAGATGTGCAGTAGTCCCCAAAATGGCTACTACGAGCCTGCAGCATGTAGCTTTCAGATTGCCCTTTTTTTTTTTAAACTTTTAAGGTTCTTCTGGATTTTTGTTTTGATTTCTGCCTCAGGGTCTGGAGGGCAGCTAAAGCAAGTCAACCACATAACAGCATGTTCAGCAATGGGCTGCAGAAACATGATTACCTTCGCCTCAAAAGGAAGAAGACGGAGTGGATCTTATGTTACTCAGGTGCCAAAAAGAAAAAAAGATTCCCCCACTCCCTTCCTCCACTCAACATCTGTCCCTCGGTGACAAGCTCACTTCAAACTGCTCAGCGCAACCTGCCTCATCTGAACACACACATCTGAAGAGCTAAAAGCCTCGGTATGCCTGGATTCCATTTTGAAAATAATAGCAATTTCACAACAACCCCTCCATTACTACACATTTGTCAAGAGGGAAATACGGAAAAGGCAGAAGGAACACAAGAGAGAAAATGCACGTCTGGAGAAATCCCTTCACAAGCAGAAAATGAGACATGAATTTGGAATACCTTCCATTACTCCCATAATTTGCAGCTGGAAGAAAATGCATCAAGCAGGGCGCTATATTTCAAAGAGAGGGCAGCAAGGACTTGACAAAAAAAGTCACTGAGAGCACAAACTTAAATCTTAAAAATAGTCTGATTATCCACGAAATAGAAGAGAAATGAAAGTAATGTCAGAATGCATGATATTATCTCAAGCCCTCAAGCAATTTCATCCTTTTTATACAGACACAGTTTTGCTCGATGAATCTTTTTTATGCTTTGCACTTTCTTATGATATATCCTTCCTTTGTATTTCGCTTCCAATGAGCGAGTCTGGTATTTTTTATTTAAGAAGTCTTTAGGACTTGTTCTTTGGACACTGTCTGCTTTTTAGTCTTTGCTTCTGACCATTTGCAGAGTAACATTGCTTTCTTGTTCATTAAGCCACTTCAGAATGACCTTTGAATTATTCGAGCACAAAAAAAGCCACTTAACTCAAAGGATGAACCAGTGTTGTTTTTACACATCACAGGCAACTTAGCAAAGAACCAATTTTAAACTCTTTTGTTAGGTGCTCTCTTATTAGCAGCCTGTTAGTTGAATCTACAAAAATGATAACACATAAAATAGATAGTATTTTTGCATATCTACAGCAGATGAACAGTATCTGAAAGTCATTAAGAAATAGGTAAAAGATCCCGCAAAGACCTGACACAGGACCTGAGAGATACATCTGACCCGACAGTTGATCCAGCTACTGTTCACCAAAGCCTCATCAGAAACGTTCTCAGTGGAAGGATGGCTGTCAAGAAGCCATTCTTAAAGGGAAACAGGAAGAAACAGCTGAAGTATGCCAAATTACACAAAACGTGGATTGAAAATCAGTGACATCAGATCTTATAGACTAATCTGTCCAAATTTTTAATTTTTAGTTAATTTAGTCAGAAGAAATCTACAGCCCTCTGCAAAACATGGTGGAGGCTCTATCATGGTTTGGGCTGCAATTCAGCCACTCACTCATTTTTAAGCAATGACAATGATCTCAAACACTGCCACTGCAGAGAAAAAAGCAGTGTGAAATCATCTTTACACTGAACGCAACAAAAGGCAGCCAACAGCCAACAAGAGATATGAATGTGCTTCAAGAAGCCTGGAGAACTATTCCTCAAAGAAATGACAAGAAAGCTTGCCTAAGAGAGTTCAGGCTGTGTGAAGAATAAAGGAGGTCGTACTATTACATACATACTATTATATTGACTTTTAAGCTGTTTTTTCCTGCACGTATTTCCCATTTTCCTAGAAAAATATAAAGAAACGAGGTGTGAATTAAGCAATATGTGCGACTGTCTGCTCCATAATCTACAGTATTTATGCATTCAGATATAAGCTACTCGAGCGTTTAGGTCTTCTGACTCTCAGGCGACATCCATGCAAGTGATAAGCAATGTCGTGTGGCCCACTGAGGACCTGACAGGGAGATAAAGGCCTTGTTTTTGCAGCCCATCTAATTGTCCCCCATGGTGCTCTGATAAGGATATGTTGGCGGACAAAGTCGTTTTTCAAGCCTTTCCCCTTTGTCCCTGTCATACTGTAAAATGCTTCATATTATAATGTGACGTCTGTCAGCACAAGGCATTTTGGGAGATGATGAGGTGAGGTGAACTTCAGTATGGTTGTTTAATTTAACAGACAGTTTGCAGATGATTCAAACTGAATTATTCAGGCATCTTGTTATTCTTGAGATGACTACACCAAAGCAGCACCATTTATATCCTGACAATTCACCGATTATAAATTCATTCCCTGAGATAATAAGGTTTGGTATGCATGATAACCTAGACAATGCTACTGGATTATAAAACACATAAAAAGGCTTGTGTTCTTGCTTTACCTGTTTGGATGTATAAAGCAGCTGCACAAGAACATCCATCAACGGAGGAAAAAGCCCTAAATTATACACAGGCTCAGACAAGAGCATCTGCCTGACCTTCTGGAGTCTTTTATGACTTTGCACAGCATTAAGGGTCAGAGCTGAGATAGAGGCAAATTGCACAAAGAGCCTCCTTCTCAACTAATGTCAAATGCACAAATACACCATGCACGCTGGCTCCACGCACACACTCACGCTGCCACATTTACACTCACACCTCCCTAACCGAACCATCTCAGCTACCGTTAGCAGTTCTCAGGATCCTCTGTAAATAATTAGATGATAATGAAAAAGACGAGCACCCTTTTCACTCTGCCAGTGGATTAGCACGGGTGCTATGCTAATACCTTTCCTTCTACTCAGAAACTGCAGGCAAGCAAAAGGCAAAGAGAGAGAACAAAAACCCAGAAGAGAAGGTTAAATGAGAATCAATAAATGACTAACAAAGAGCAATTAGTTATTACAAAAGAGAAAAAGCAGTGTCTCACTTTGAATAAAAATGACAGGGTCCATGAATAACA